TTAAGCACAATGGAAATAATTACTCTTAAATCTATCAGTGTATAGAGGTGAGGGACAGAAAAACAGAAATGGAAAGAGAGGAGCAAGTTTCATCTACTACCTACCTACCTGCCTGCCTACAGGTCCTTCTGTCTGCCTTTTGACCTTTCACTCGCCTTGATCAACAGAATGGGTTGTCTGGATACCAATGAGAAGCACTTTTTCAGTATAATAATAATTCCTAATGTTTAGAGAACAATTCTTCCAAAACTGCAAGCAGAGATATGACACTAAGATGTCGCCAACAGATCTTGTTACCAAAAGCAAAACCAATGAAACAACATCTGTCTCTTCTAGAGCATTCAATTCCCAATTCAATTCCATTTACTCCATCCTTAGAGTGGCAGACCCGCAGGGCACTTTTCATCTAATAGTGTTTCTATGGAAACGCCATTCTCAACCTGGAAGATTCTACAACCTCTCACTTTGGCTTTATCCACATTGAGAGGAAAGCCTTATAAATCAGAAATCGAGACATAATTTTGCTACAGACCAAAAAAAAAAAAAAAATTGTTTTTCCAGGCTAGAAGTTCGCAAAAAGAAACAAAACCATGTGTAAAATATGTGTATCTGACATAGAAAACAAAGTGTCTCTATGAAGTACCAATGGGATCCCAAAGATCAGTGAAAGGAATCCAAGAGAATGTGAATGAAAATCAATTCACCTTCAGGGTCACCTCCCCTGCTAGTCAATGCCAGATATGTCACCCCTTGTACGGTTGCTTCACCTGAACCTTCAGGTGTGTTATTTTAACAGCCTGCATTCTCCCTAAATTTCAAGATTCCTGGGATACACAGCAGCTCCATGCAGGAAAATATATCACTGCATATTTTAAATAAGAACCATATTAACCACTTTTCTATTTAGATTATATTTAAATCTGCAATATGTTAGGGTAGGAAAACAAAACAAAACAAAACAAAAAACACCTTGATTTTTACCCTAAACATTGTATTTGTTTATTCCTTCTCCTCATTTCTACTAGGCCCTTAGGCATATCTTTGTAACACTACCTAGTGAAATAACTAGCAATAGGCAAAACACATCCAGTTGGAACATTATGACATAGTAGGTTATAGTTGTAGTTGGAATAATGCCTTTAAGGGAAAAAGAAACTTTGATGCAGCATATGTCCCTGAACTGTCAATATACAGTGACTCATACTCAAATATTAAGTATTTTTTAATTGTTGGCAGTAATTTGTCTTCAGGCAAATGCAAGCACTTCTATTAATAAATGCTTTTGTTTTCTAATTCTCTCTTATGATCTAAATAATGTCAGTCATTCTTTTCAATTCCAGGCAACAGTTTCTTTGGAGAGACCTTCTTTAGTTATCAAAACTGGCAAGTGTTCAACTTGAAACTAAGGTAGAAATTTGCATCACTGAAATTTCCTTTTACCCATAAGCACCAAAGTTTAAAATCTGTTTCCTTTTTGATTATTTTCATCATATACAAGTTATTTCCAGTTTAGCTTGCTAGAGACTGTGAGTCCAAGAATGAAGCTTTAGTTCTCTCTTCAGGTAGAAAAATGTGCTGCTGATTAAATCTACCTGTGGACAACTACAGAACAGCACATTTTTCTTATGCATCTGGGGTGCAAATCCAGAAAGTTTTTGTTTTGTTTTGTTTTGTTTTATTCAGGCCCTTTTCTACTCCTCTAACACACAAATGCTAGAAAGCCCTTTCAAAGGCAGGTAGTTGCTGCTGCTGTTGTTGTTGTTAACTGAATAAGCCCAATGAAAAGATTGATCCATTTATTTGAAAAAGAGGGGGGGGGGGAGTAGCAATTTGCTTCCAAAGAGGTGTGTGAGGTCTTATAATATGCCCTTTGGCATTGAAAAGATTAGTTTGTACAGTTTGCTAATAAATTGTTATTGCCATTATTTTAATTAGCCAGAGTTTCAATTGCTCTTTTATATCTTGCAAGATTTCAGGCAGGATTTTCTAGATAAGCTGCATTAATCATATAGCAAGAATGTGATCATTTAGGGGTACCCGGGTGGCTCAATTCGTTAAGTCTCTGACTTTGGGTCCTGATCTTGTGGTTCATGAGTTCCAGCCCCGTGTTGGGCTCTGCGCCGACAGCTCAGAGATTGCTTCGGATTCTGTGTCTCCCTTTCTCTCTGCCCCTTCCCCGCTCGTGCTCTGTCTGTGTCTTTCTCTCAAAAATAAATAAACGTTAAAAAAAAAAAATTGTTTTTTAAAGAATGTGTTCATTTAAAATTTGTCCTGTCTGCCAAATGACTGTCATTTGTGTGCATCCCTAAAGAACTTTTAGAACTTGAAAGAAGTTGCAACAAGACTAGTATGTAGATGTCACTCTTACTTACATTTGGACAAATAACAAAACTCTTTAGAGGTTTTTCCATAGAATTTATTATTTTCAGCTCCTGACTATAAGCATTACCTAAGCAGTCTGTGGATTTCTTCAAGAAGTATAACAAGACACAGAGACAGGTGTTCCTGGTAACTGGAGATCTATCTGCTCTTGCAATTGGAGAAGAGGGAAGGGAATCTTTTTCATTGGGGGAAGGAAAAAGGGAGAAAATTTGAATATATCTCCTTTGCTTTTTACATGATATTATGAGACATTTGCTTTTTAGAGATGGTTACCAGCATCCATATTTTTGTGTGAGCACATGGCAGTGGAGTGAGGAACGTGGGTGGGAATGTCCAATGGAAACCACAAGGCAACTTCTGTGAGCATTCATAGAAAGCCAGGGAGACATGGACAAGTGGGTTTCCCCTTTCAGGGTAGTGGTACAGGCCAGCACAGACCCCCAAACTGATTTCCTCAAGAAATCAGGAAGTTTATCAATAATTTCTATTCCCATTGCCCAAATAACCTATGGACCACAAAAAGCATTGCAATGCAGGTAAAATCTTGCTGGCTGTTAAGGACTTTTTTGTTTTGTTTCGTTGTAGGAAGATAACATAGCTCTCTGCAAGGTTCTTCACAAGGATATGACCTAGAAAACCAGGAAGTCTGGTGGATGAATAAAAGAACTTGCTCCTCTCTCTCTCTCCTGATTCTGTCTGAACCAATATTTGATTATATTTTATTCAGGGGCACCTCAGCTTCAAGTAAAGCCAAAGCTCCTTTGCAGATTGAGATGGAAGCTCACGAAATCCATTCACTTTTTTCTGTCAGTATAGGAAACAGACTGGTTGTAACTGCAGGGTTCACCTGGTTTTGTCCCCTCTTCCCCCCCACTCATCCTTCAGATCTGGTTAGCTGGTCAGCTCCAGTGATGAAATGTCAGCATGGTTGCATTAGCACCTTTGACCAAATGGCACTTCGTACCTCCTGCTGTTTATTCTTCATGTTATGCCCGCTACGCCCTCCAGACCCTCGCCCTTCCCCCCACCCTTCCGTAGTGGTTGATAATCCCCAGTAGCAAACTTGTACAAGGCAGATAGATGGCAAACTATCCACACATATGTAACAAGTGTCAGCTAAGTAATGGCACTTGAAGTGTGGGTTTCAGGTAGACCTAATATGATGTTAAAATCAGTTCCACAGTCTAAATCTTCAACTGTCTACCAGCATGAACCAACCTCCACAGCTGATTCCAAAACCGGCAGTGTAGTCTAGTTGCTATTTGGAATCGCAATGGTTAGAAGAGAGGAAGGAAACTGTTTTTTTAGTTACTCCTGCTGCTCCGTTTTTATTTTATGCACAGACACTGGAAATTCTGGATTAACTTATACCCTGGAGTGTTAACGGAGGCACAGCCTCTATGCAGAGGAACAACCAGCATGGCCTTCGATAGCCCCTGTGTGTCCCCCTGTAACGGTACAAATCACCGAGGAACATGGCCCTGGAAGGGGGCAAGTGTGAGGGTCAACAGACCTGGATACGTTTGTGACTAATGCAGAATTAACTTTAATACTTAAGAAAAATAAATAACTTCAAGAAAAGCCAACTATGCTAAACAGAGTCACATAAAAAGTTTGCTCCTGAAATTGTTCTCAAAAAGCCAAGATGGTTAACATTGATTCATCTTAGGCTAGGCTAGGCTATGACCTGTTTAAATTCAACCTTTGTCCCTAACATTGAATGTCTCCCTCACCAACAATTTTGCTGATTTCTAAAATATTATTTTATCCATAAATTTTCATTTTGTCTTCTTCCTTAGATGTCATTAAATCAGTATGCACTTACAAAAATATCCACCACAATATTATGATTATAAATATTTTGAACATGAAATTCATTCAGAACAATAAGCAAACAAAACAAATCCCTTGGTGGCATAAAGCCCCAAATCTCCAGTTTCTCACATCTCCAGGAGAATTCCTGCAGTGAAAACAGCAATACTCACACAGACAATATAAACTGTTACTCTGCTTGAAAAGTCACAGGGGACTACACAGGAAGAGCTGACTCTATATTGCTGTTTTCCTTTACAGTTCTAAGTACAGGGACCACTTTCACTGTGCAGCCGTGACTCAGATGAATGTTTTGTAATGGCAACCAAGTGCACTCAAACCACTTAAAAGCAAATTACGTGAGCATCTTGCCATTGCAACAAGATTTAAACTTTTTCGGACCATTCACTATAAAGGTCCACTAAAGCATTAGAAGAAATTAAGTCCTTCCCTTTGGGGTTTGTCTAAACTTTCTTCTTAGTAAGACTCAGTTCTAAGTACCTAAGAATCACACTGAGAAAAGCAACATCATTAGCATACATACTTAAAATCACAAGTCACATGAACTCCTAAACCTTGTAACTTACAGTTAACAAAACTGCAGTAGTGAACTGCAAATAAAACTCCTCATTTGGGGTAAGTATCTAGGAAATAAGTGCTAGCACTTTTGTAAAAACTAGGGGAACACAGCGATTTATGAAATATTCCAAGTGCAGAGGGATCATTTCCACCCCCCCCTTGTTTTTCTATCACAACTGGTTCATTGTCCATATTTAGTTTACATATGTCATTTAGAATCCACTTACTGTTAGATGCTGGAACAGCCACGCCCTCATGATATTTGTGGCTACTTTGGGAAAGATGCCACGCTTTTTGTGACGCTTTTTGTCCTTATCTGGATCATCATCGTCACCTGTGCTGGGGGAAGCTACACTGTTGTCCAAGCCATCACCTGCAAACATAGTGAATCAAATTTTGACTGATGCTACCTTGACATGCTTTATTCAAATAGAATGCCTTTGGATATAAACAAAACCAAAAGAGCAATATAAATGATTAATAGTTTATTTGGTACTTTTTTTTTTTTTTCCAAAACAAAGAGAAAAACAAGGCCTAGACTCAAAAGTAGTCAGGTCTAAGGAACTTCTTCCAAAGAACAGTGGGGAAAGTCAAAGGGAATGAAGGGAAATAGCCAATCTCTTTAGTAGCTTTGTTGCCATGGTAATTATTCAGATGTGTAGAGCTGAGACATGCTAAGCATAACTCCTAGTGGGGAGTTAAATATAGTGGCCGCCATTGGCAGCGGCCAATGCCTGGGTATTCAAACCTCACATATAGTCGTTGATGTGGTCAACATGTGAGAAGATGCATTCAAGATATCAACTATTTCCACAAGTGATCTATCTTAAGACTAAAGTAGGCCATGGAAATGGTAGGTAATCCATCATCTAAGCAGTTTGACATAGGAATGCTTCAAATAGAATGTAATTTTTCTTGTCATAAAAAGAGAGCATCAAGTTTAGGAAGGGCAAAACTCCTGAAATAGTTTTTTAATTAGGAAATGGTTACTATGTAAGTCAAATAAAGTGATGTTAAATTAATAGTCAATGGGAATTGGATTATCCTAAAAATCCAGGAAGTTTCTTCTAGATTTAATTTTTTCTCATTGCAAAATCATCTGTTGACAAATCATCTGTTTCCTGAATATCGGATCCTATTTTTCCATTGATTTTTGCCATAACATTTACGTTGCTTCTTCTAGAAAATATTCTGGCTCTGTGACAAAATAAAATTAAAGATGCAGGATTCCTTTTATAATGTCATGTTTAATAAGACAAAAAAAAAAAAAAAAAAGAAATTTCAGCCCATGTAATCACACTGTCCAAAACAAGTCATAAGGCACAAGTGGAAACTAACTACCTTGGTTTGGACACAAAAGTTCAAAGGGAACGAGAGTGGACTGAACTCACTACACTAAAAAGGAGCTTAGCTTCTATCAAATGTGCCTTCCTACCTGCTGCCCCTGCTCTTGGGGGAAGCTACCGACTTTCAGAAAGGGATAGGTTGGTCTGGCCTAGGAAGAATTGCTACAGCAGTAAGGCTCTGGATGAGGCAAGACATGCACCTGAGGGCACGTTCCCTGGGTTATGGAAGTCACTAGAGAGCAGTCTACAGGCCCAAACAATGAGGTCCTTTGGCAAGGCAATTTTCCTGGTCACTGTACATTGGAACTAGCCTCAGATTCAGTTACATCACTCTGTGAATTTCTTATTTCATATTCCTTATTTCTGTTACCTAAATACACTACATATGCAAAGAATTCTCTACTTTGATTCAGTTATTTCAGCCTAATCTTTAGTAATTATGTTGCCATTAATCAATTGTTCTTAACAACTCCCTTAGGACACCCCCCCCCATCTCCCTTCCCCAACAAAGAAACTTGCCCCCAAACTGCCTTAACTTGTACTGAGGTAAAGTATAAAAACTCTTGTTGGGTGAGGAACAGACTAGTTTCAACATTTCTGCTATGATTACAGCATGTGCCGCAAATACAAAACTTTTGCAGAACTTTTCAGAGTGGGATTTTTATTAATTTTAAAAAGCACACCTTTATTATATTTAAAATCCATATACTTTGTTAAAGCCCCACAGAATCATTGCTGTGTTCTCAGTGGAAAAGATCATATAGACCCATAGTTCCAAAACCCTCAGTGTACCAGTGAGGAAAGTGCTTGTATTCTGGTGGGTGACTTACCCAAGGTCACGCAGCAGGGATGGGACTGGCCCACCTGTGCCCGACCAGACACCTGCACCCCTAAATCAGTGTCCCTTCCACCCCACCAAACTCGTTATTTGCATAGCCAAGTGTTGTATAAGGAGTCCCCTTGGATTTGCCTAATAAATTCCTTGAAAGTCCAGTATTTAAAGAGGCTTTTTATTCAGAGAAGCAATTCACCATATAAAATAACAATTCATTAAAGAAACATGAGAAAAGAAACCAACTCAACAGCATTTAAAATTTCAATGGGCTAATCCACTCTCAATATGCAAAAGGTAACCGAGGAAAAGAAACATATTACTTGATCATTGATTAAAAATGAAAAGCTTCTAACCTAATGACAGTTTTTTACCACCTCTCCATGATTGTTTTCCACCTTAAAAAAAAATAGCCTTTCTATCTGTCTCCAAACCCCTTCAGATTAATTTAGCAGGCAATGCCTAGTGCCTGCCTCGAAGAGAATTCATTGATAATTTATGGAAATATCTACTATAATCCAGCGGAGATGACTTTTTTCCAGCTTTGTGCATCAATAGATAATCAAGGCCTTAAAGCAGCCTTAGCTTCCCATTACCTCAGGCAAAAGAATTCCTGAAAGCGTGCCTTGAGGGCACCTGAATTATATACTCCATTAGGAGAGGAAGGCTTTCTGCATTCCATGTGTAACACTCACCAGAACCTTTCCTGTTTATTTCTGCTGTATGAAAGCAGAAGCATTAGGAACAGAATTTTTTAAGTGAAGACTTATGTAGATACAATGGAGAAACCTTTCAAGCAGGAGCCAGATCACCCCCTTCAGTCCCTGGCAGTGACCTCTCCTGAATAAAAGGTTTCTATTACATCATTAGCTCAAGCCAAAAACAGCCTTGGCTTAATGCACAGTTTGTTCTTCCTACTGTTTTTAGGCAAATACAGCTACTTTACTCCCATCTGGGAGGGAAATTACACTGCTGGGTTGTAATCTAAGACAAGATTTTCATTGGAAGCAAATGCTTTCAATCCAGTGTAAATACTGGTGCATGTTCAGAAAAGCCTAAAACAATAAACCCTGCTCCTTCCCGACACAAGTTAGGGAAATGGAGAAGATGGGGAAGGAGAGGAGCATAATAAAACAGACTATTCTAAAAGCAAACACGTTCATAGATTTTAATAAATTGTTTAACCTCTTCCACTTTCTAGAATTGAAAATTGATCTCGAAACGTCTCAACCTCAGAGGAAAGTCTAAATGGTCGATTGTACCTTTAGCATTCCCATTCACTCTGCAATTTGATACAGTCACCTCTATGCGGTCTCTGGAGGATTTATTTCCTTTTTTTATTTTTAAGATCACTAAACAAACTTGGAGAACCGCCGGCCGACCACATGGCAGCAGGCAGCGGCTCTGAACCACATTTGTAAAATGTCAGCAGTGACTTCATTCCTGGAGCTGACTTCTCCTGCCGCCAAATGAAGGCAAACTGAAAAGGTGGAAATAATCATAAAAATGATGCTAGTCCATAAACAAGCTTACAGCCTCATTAGGATAGCAGTAGGCTCCAGTGGGTGATTTATGCTCGTTTTGCTGATGCTATGAGGAAATGCCATAGGGCGACTTTAGCCAATTGCTAATGGTTTCTGACAGCTTCTTAGCAACTAGTGCAAGCAACGTTGTGGCGTTTGCTAGTGACAGAAACCGAAAATGTCATATTATCTGCCCATGTGTCATGAAGTCCGTGTGGCAATTAACTAGCAGGCCAGTGACTGAGGGGCCAGAGGCTTCCGAAAATGGCCTTTGGCTATGCAGTGGCAGCCGATGGGCTCAGAGGCACACACTGCCTGCACATATGCAACATTCTAATGCAGAAATCCACTTCCTTGTGACTTCCCGGCTCTGATGAGACCGGGCCACTCAAATCCCTCTTTTCTCCCTCACTCAAGTGAAACTCTGGGCTCCTCTCAATCTCTCTCTCTCTCTCTCTCTCTCTCTCTCTCTCTCTCTCTCTCCCTCGGCACCAGCTCAGGCCTTATGAGAGGACTCCAAAGCAATCTGCTTTGATATGATTATCCGAATGGCTCCTTAATTGGCAATACCTGGTTCTGTGCTTTTTGGACCCTGGATTCAAAGGTGCTAGCCATTTTTCTGCTCTCTCACAAATTAGTCTAAAAGGATTTAAGATCACTGAAGCAGACTCATTGCCTGTCAGATTGCTGGGAGCAGAGGAAGTCTGTGCAGCAACAAGACACTATGTAAAAAACACCAGGCTTCTAACAAGCAGGGAGAGAATCTTGGCCACACTTTTCAGTTTCCGAGCTATCAAAACCATGCACTATATGTCAAACTGTCAAACCTTTCAGCGTGGGCCATTTGCCCTTTCAAATAATATTTAAGAATTGTTTTTACAAAATTTTATAGGCCATGGTCTAGTGAAAGAGGCCAACCAACAAAGAAAGGAATTTGTACTACAATTCGTCTACGGACAATTTCTTGTGAGACCTGGTCTGTCCCTGCGGAGCAAGGCAGGTGACCTGTGGCAGCTCCCAGGCTGTCAGAGAGCTCAGATTTCAAACACGCTCAACTCAAACATCCCGAGTCGCCTATTTAAGCATGCCCAGGCATTTAGACTGTGCTATCTCGTGCCTTTCAAGGCAGGATAAAGCGGCATTTACCGTATTCAGGCCATTCAATGGGTCAGACTGACCGTGTCAGCAGGGGCTCCTCTCCGGCAGGTCACAGCCCTGCTCCCATTTTTCTCCTCCTCCTGACTCCCTCTCTCCCCCCCAGGACTGCCCTTCCCCAAAACCTAGTCTGAGCCAGGCTAAAACAAAACCCCAAAGTGCCCAAGATTCACATCACAACTGATAGGGACCTCCAGTCAGTGGGCCAGCAGGCATCAACAAAATGGGTTGTCTGCCAGAGGGTTCGTTACGTCACAGAGGCAAAACTCCTAATTAGGGATACGAACTTTCAACTGCCAGGGCAAATGAAGTGTTGGGTTGTGGACCTCCTTCTTTTGCGAGAAGCCATCCCAGCTCCAAGACGATTCATTTACGATTTTCTATTGAGACCCCACAGTTTCCAGCCAGGTTCTCTCCTTAACTTTTGCTTTACTCATCTTCAAGTGTTTGGAAACAGAATGCTTATCCCAGAAATGGACGGAGACTCAAAACCAAGGCCATTTATAATCGCATCTTT